TGTTTTTGCCTTCTTGCACTTTCGCCAGTTTTGCTTCCCTGCTTCTTCGCGGGTTTTGCTTGAATGCTTTTTTTTTTCATTATCGAAATTTTCTTTTATTTTTATTTTAGGTTTTTTTTTATTTGAATTAGAATTTTTAATTTCGTCGCTTCGGTGTCAAGCTTTCACTGGTATGATTTCGGTGTTGTCGTTTCGTCGTTTCAGTTTTGTGGTTATTGGTGTCAATACGTGGTTAGGTTGTGGATGATAACTGATTTGTCGTTAGGTTACTATATAAATTACGTGGCTTAGCCACGTAATTTATATTGTTCTTTACGAATAATCAGTTTCATTACAACTTAACTAATAACATTTTTATCCGTAATGTCTGACGTAAGCACTGTCGTTTTTCGTATATATTATTCGATTTTTCTAATCATTTAACTCTTTTTTTATTTTCGCTTACTTTTAACTTTCGCTCACCATTTTTTTCTTTTTACTCTTGTTTTTTTTCATTCGCTCAATTTTTTTTAACTTTCATATTGCGTTTATACGAGTTTCACAGCTTCCTACGCAAGAAGAAATAAAACCAGAAAAGTGATCAAAAAATTGATTTATCACATGATTAGAAAGTGATCGAATAATATATACAAAAAACGTCCAGTGCGCACATAGGACATGTCGGATAAGTAAATATTGTTGGGTTACATTTGAAACGTTCATCACAAACGATATTTGTAGTTAGGGTTAGATTTAGTGTTTTTTTTTTTTTTTTTTTAAAAAAAAAAAATAAGTTTATATCTGATCAAATAAAATATAATAAAATAATAAAATACTTTATGATGCAAATTTGTTACTATGATTGTATGATGGTTGTATAAGAATTATGAGTGATTGTATATGCCAAAACCCATGCCGATTAGACTAATACAAACCCGAACCATTAACGGTCCAATTGGCATCAGTTTACGGCCCACCACGAGCCAAAAAAACCGTGCCAATTCAAACCTCTACGTACAAATCAGGGCCACCGTCACCCGCGCCATTACGTCACCAACCCGTACCAAAACCCGTGCCATTTGGATTAGTAAAGTGTTGCAAAACCCGAGTCATTAACGGTCCAATTGGCTCTGGTGTACGGACCAACACGGGCCAACAAATCCGTGCCAATTCGAACCTTTTACGTACAAAGCCGGTCATTTACCCGTGCCACCAAAACCCGTGCCGTCACGACGCCAACCCGTGCCATCACGATCCAATTTTCTTATAGGGGTGTTTATACATTTTTGGAGCAGTGAATGTTGCTGAAAATCAATTAGAAAATGGAATAATGAATGTTACCGAAAACTAATTAGAAAAATTAAAAGGTACTATTTCTCCAGAATAGGCCGATAATTCTTCATCTCAATTTGGTGAAATTAAAGTCGCTCTTCCACAAATTACTGAATCATTTGAAGAACTTATGAAAAAATCGATAAATCATTTTGGGATATCTACTATTGTATGTGTCGAAAAAGAAGACCTCGTAAAGTAAGTTTCGTTTTGTTTGTAAGATTCATTGATCTTATAATAAATATATTTATTATATTTCTTGCCAACTTTCCAATATGATATATAATACTATATATATATCTATTATTTATTAATAAATATCTCAATAAATTGATTATTGAAAGATGTTCTAACGTAATATATAATAAGTAAAAGAAGATTGAACAACGCGAACTAGAATATAGTTCATTAATGAATCTTACTCTCTCTTTTATACGTTAACAAAAAATATTCATTGTTAATCTTACAAAAAAAAAAACTAATATGAGCAAAATAATTCTAATAATAGCAATAAAGAATGATAATTCAGAAATTTCTTAATATTATAAACGTAGTAAAAATATGTATAAAGCAGTAATAATAGCAATTACCATGTAACAAAAAAACTCGTATGCATGTGCATACGTTGAGAAAGACAAATCTGCCCTTCAATACAAGAATGCACTACAACACTATACTAATACAAACTAAACAACTTAGTCCGAGTAATTAGTGTCAATTAGACTCTAGGCTACATCACGAGTCTCTTAATACGAAGTCACGGATCTGGTCACTAATTCCTATCGTTAGTACAGATTTTACTTATCGGGGGATTAGTAGAGCCAAACAATATTGAACTCTAACTGAGCTGTTAGCTAAGCTATCTTCAACTGTCCTTTATTAAAGACAAAAAGGTAGTCTTTTATACTTTCGCACTATTAGTTGTACACAATAAATATATCCACTAATGTACTAAATGCATTAAATGCGATAAATACAATAAATACCATAAATTGAATAAATGCGACAAATTCCATAAGTGTCATAAGTGCCATAAGTGCCATAAGTGCGATAAGTTGCACTTAATACACTATAATAACTAATTTTGGCTGAATCCGACCTGGGCCACCTTAGCGTTAATTTACCCACACATAACTGCACGGCATCACATGCTGCACAGCTACTCTTATGTTGTGTATGTATCTACACTCCGAATCTTAATGTTTCATATTTTTTTAGTATAGGAGATGTCTCCTAAAACTTTGACAAACATTTTTAATGACATTAAGCTGATAACTTTGCATGTTTCAAATTATTAAGCTATTGAAGATGGTTTTTATAAATCTCTTTGTATTGATTGCGTAAAGTACCTTAAGTTCTGTGGTGAGATGAAGTGAATAAAAATACAAAAGTTACATTTAAAAATCATTGGCACTAAAAGAGCTCAAATTTATTATTAAAAGAATGGCGACCTTTAACAAAATATTATATAATGGTTTCCTAGTATCACTTAGAATTTTATACAATTTTAAAACTTTAAAAACTTTTGAGTATCAATATAAAACGTTATATTTA